CACATGAACTAATATCAGAGCCAGGTAATTTCTTAAAGGAATTCTACCAAGCCTTAATTTTAAAAAACAGATTTGATTCTGACTACGGGCAGTAATAGAACAAGGAGTAAGAAATGTTAAACTTCGTTCAGAACTTGCTAATGCTGAAGTTAGCATGGCTTTATAAGTTATTTTATGTAAATTGGAAGATAAAGAAAATTACTAATTACAGTAAAGTTACTAAGAATAAAGATTTTCAATGTAAGTGAAAAGAGATGCAAATATATAGCCAAAGAAATTAAGTAAAATTCTTTGATGTTAAATTTGAACTGAACACATCAACATAAATTCATGATTAAAAATATATATATTTCTTAGACTTTTCCACTGAAATGGGGGGAAAGATGACACACTCCATATAGCAAAAGATTTTTTTTAAAGCACAAAAGAAGCAATTTTAATAGAAAACATAACATCAAATAAGATAGCCCAATACCAAGTAGGTCATTCATTCAAGTGGTATAAATTCACCAGGGCTGGGGTCTCATTCAGTGGCACAGCATTTGGGTAGCATGTATGAGACCCTGGGTTCCACGCGCGGCACCATAAACACACGCAAAAATGAAAGCATTCATTTACCCAAATAATAAGTCCTCAGATCAGACTGCAAAGCTAAACTTTGCCACATTCTGGTAGGAGAGGGAGGAAGAGCAAAAAGGTGGATAAAAACATCTAAGCAGATGCAAACTAAAAGAAAGCAAGAGACCCAAGATAAGGTAGAATTCAACAACACAACAGTAAGCAAGATAAGGATTAACAGTTAATGACCATCAAGAAAACAAAAATAGAGTCAAAGACACAAGTACTAAATGACAAGCCCATGTGATGGCACATCCCTGTAATCCTAGCCATGGGGAAGCTGAGGCAGGAGGATCACAACAAGTTTGAGGCCATCCTGAGCTACACAGTGAGTTCAAGGCCAGCCTGGAACTACATAGTGAAACCCTGTCTCAAAAAAAAAACAACAACAACTAAATGACAATATTACCATGTACATGCAATAGAATACATCAGAGAGAAATCAAAATACTCATGTCATGAATAACCAATGCTAAAATGATAACTAGAATTTAGCAGGAAGTAAATAATACACTATAATCAAGGAAAGTTCAAGGGAGTACAAGATCATTTAATAGTAGAAATTCTACTACCATCATTTACCATATCGATAATGTTAGAAACAAAAAATAATAGTCTTCACAGATGCTAGGAAAGCATTTGATAAAATTTAATGGCCACACAGACAAAAATTCTTATGAAGTAGAAGGAATGGACTATTTCTGAACCTGGAAAGATTACCTAATGTCAGAAGTCTACATCATGCTAAATGTTCAAATGGAAGCATTCCTAAGTTGATGAAATCACTGTGAAGTTTAATTCGGCAATATCTACCCCAAAGGTTGTAGATACTTCTGATCTAACAATTTCAATTTAGGTGAGTTTCCTAATTTGTCTGTAATGAAAAACCTGGAGGAAAAAATTAGATGTTCACTAACACGGTGATATCCATAACCAGGAGTCACAGAAAAGGAATGAGGAGTTAGATTTCCCGTGGTAACCTAGAAGGGTCACGTGATGGGGTTCAATAAAAAACATGGTCCAAAATGACATGGATGCTATCCTTCCAGCTATCTGAACACATGTTCTCATGAACAACATTTCTCTAGGATATCTAATAAGGAGGAAAGGAGGAGATTCAGAGCACAAGGTCAGTGTGAGTCCTGATCTGGCCATTTCCTGGTTAATAAATATGTTGTTTGATTCCAAGCTACAGTTTAACAGATACAAAAAACCTCAGCCCTCAGCAAAACACACAGATGATGCAAGCTGTGCTGTCTCGGAACAGACAGAACACAGCAGGGGATGTTACAGAAACAGAGATAAGACTGAGAGGAGACCACCCCTCCATGTGGAACTGTGCAACTATGGGTTAACTGAGTTATTGGGCAACTATGGGTTAACTAGGTAGCTATGCTCTTTGTGGGATGCACCTGAGTAGCCATGACAGCTTCTGTAATCTGTCACCAAAGGAGCGGAACAGACTCAGAAAGTCCTGCCAGAACTCTGCTCTCCCCACCCTCTGCTGCTCTGCTTTGTGCAAATCCTGCTCGCTATATTCCCAGGGAAGCTCCAATGGAATTGGGCTTCATAGATGTAAAAAGAGGTAGATAAGGAAGTACAAACTTTTTTTTTTTTTTGTACGGGGGATCAAACTCAGGACCTTGCGCTTGCGAGGCAGGCGGCAGAACCACTGAGCTAAAACCCCGGCCCAGGAAGTACAAACTTCTATTGGGGCTCTCAAAACTGACAAAGTCACTCGCTGAGCCACCAGCATTAAAAGCCGAGTTTTGCTCCTGTCTTTGTGTTAGAGTTATCTGTCCAAGGTCCTCAGTTTCCTGCTTCAAGACTACAAAGTACAGCACATCTTCCCAGCACCAAGTTACCTGATAACATCCACACACTTGCCTTGACTGCCTCGTGGACCCCGACAGCAAATATCTGCTCTGAGCCCTGTACATGACAGACGTGCCAGAGCCCTTGCCTGACCCCCAACAAAGCTCCCGCTTTTCTTTGTTCACCACTGACAGCCTCTTGCTGCCCTCAGCCAACCCGCAGGAGGTGAATACTGCACGTGCTTCACTGCCTTCCACTAGCCCACCTGGGCGGTCTCGCTCTTGTGCCACTTCTCACAGTAGGAAGATATTTAACTGAAATGCCAACAGTGTAAAAATTAGACAGTGCAAAGTGCAGTCTCCTTCCACACCCTGCCCCAGGTCCCCCTCTGCCCTTCTTATTATAGACCTGAGGGACAAAGAACTGTAACAGCTGCAGACTGCTCAGGGAAGTGTGTTTATGCATGTGCTGTGTAACTGAAAAGTGTTAGTTAATGTCCACGCACAAACAATAAGCCCTCAGCATTCGGGACAGCATTCAGCACACACTACAATAAGTTATGTTACTTCAGGAGGAAAAAACACCACAAAATTTTCTACTAAAAAGTGAAAATAAACAATTTATCCTAAAAAAAACCCTTCAAAATTCAAAAAGCAAGTCCAAGTAAAAATTTGGATAAACTCTCCCAAGGCAAGGCAACATCCCCAACAGAGGACAGGATGTTAGGAGGATCTGCGTGAGAGACAAAGAGAACCTCTGCAGTCCTAGTCCTCACTGTCAGGAATCCAGGGAGACCAGGCACGAGGCAGAGCCCCTAAGAAGGATTCCTGCCAGAAACTTCAGGCTGCAGGAACGACAAGAGGGCAGAGGAACTGGGAGGACATCATCAGAAAACCTGCACTCTGAAACAATCTCATTATCAGACAAATGGCCTGGTCTCTTCAGCAAGACAATTTCATGAGGGAAAAATGCAGAACAGAAACTGTTTGATATTAGAGACTCATGATATTATAGACAGCTAAATCATGCAGAAATATTACAGGCAGTCAGACAGGCTAGGCCCTTGAGGGAGTAAGAGCGGAAGATGAGAACACATCACAACTGTGGCTGGAGGCGCATCTAAAAAAGCTTAAAGTCACATTGGCCAGATTTACACACTTCCTAAGGGATAAGCTGAAACTTCAGATTATTGGTACCACCCTTTTGAGATTTCTCATAAAAATCTTGCTGGTGGTGGGCCATTCTCTCCCACCCACTAAGACTAAGACCATTAAGACTAAGAGTAAAGACAAGACTAAGACTATAGATTATCGACCAAGGTTAATGATGCCATCCATATGCCCTTGCTACTATATCAGATCCATATTAGCTAAGTGGCTGTACTTGGAATCTTATTGGTTGATTATAATTGAACCCACCTTATACCCACCTAGTGACTCTGCTCTATAAAACTTTCTCAGAAAAGTAGGCTCATTGGCAACCCACTTTTGGGCCCCTCTTGTCCCTCAGGAGTGCTCTCTCTCTCAATACATTTTTCCTACCCTTAACCTCCACTGTTCCTTAGAATTCCTTCTTCCGTTTTAGGGAACATGAATTCGGCATATCTGACATCTAGCAGGTCGGGAGTTATATTTTCCCTGTATAAATGATACATAACCACCAACAAATGGGTGATCAAAGAGGGATCTGAGGAAACATGAAGATGGACAGGGTCGTGGGGCTTCATCCTCAAGGGAAGAGGCTGGAGGGCAGTGTTACAATGACAACTCCAGGGAAACCAGCCAGACTGGGCACAGAAGCTAACTGCCTGAAGTGTGTTTAAAGCAGCAAAAATGCTGAAGCCTTGCTGCTCTCTGGGCTTGAAGCAAATTTGGAATTATACATTGAAGTAAACTCTTTCATTCTGCAAAACAGTGTTCTCAATAAAACAGAATTACACAAAACCAAAAGGTCACAAGCTGCTAATCTGCATTCAGGTGTCATGCGCCCCTGTAAGCCTCCTTAGGCTTCTCTGTCTGCCTGTGCTCAGCACCAGCAGGACCAGAGGGGCTGGGAAGGGCTCTGGGGAAGGCCAGGTGTCTTCCGTCACAGATTTTCATCACAGCCCATGTGGTGCGTGATCGTACAGCACTCTGGGAGGCTGAGGCAGGACTACGCCCAAGCCCAGTCTGGGCTCCTCAGAGACTTAGTGAGATCCTGTCTCAAAATGAAAAACAAAGCGGGGTCTAGAGATTTAAATTAGTACAAAGGCCTGAGTTCCACCTTCAGTACCACACACGCACGCACACACACACACACACACACACACACACACACACACAGCCAACCATGGGCAGTGAGGCCTTACAAAGCAGCAAACCATAGAGAACAAATACAATGGTTAAAATGTGCAGTGTAATAGAGCTCCACTGGCAAAAGATATGCTCGTGTTATTGTAGGGCTGTATGCTTCTCAATAAGGATGATACTAAAGTTTCTGCAATTGCTTGATTTATTAAGTTTGTTTTTTGTGAAAGAATAGCCAAATGAGAACGTGTCCCCATCAACCTGGCTGACAGCATAACTTACGCAGCGACTTTCCTGGATACAGCTTCGCTTGGGGGTACCCAGGGATCATCTTCTCATCTCTAGCTCTGAGATTTTCCAGCTCATGTTTGACAATGAACTGACATTCTGTCATGGTGAGGAAATCGTCATTGTCATCTGGAATAAAAGCACAAACTTCTCGTTATTTTCTCAGTAATCAAAAGAAAGTTCAGCAGTACTGCAGTTGCTTAAGATTATGGAAATATGATGTATACAATAGCAACTGACAGGCGTAATCAAATATAAAACTGGTAAATTAAATAGAACATAAAGCTCCTTAGATCTTTTCTAAGGACACAATATTTTGGTTATGCTTGCTCATAACGCAACTCTCCAATCATCTGCTAGCCGTTCCGAAGCAGCATGCAGACGTCCAAATGCACACACTTGCTGGGTCTCACTGCCAAGGAGCAGAGGCCAATGCCACCTTGGATCCTGAAGACATTTTAAACCAGGGATGGAAGAGCGTGTTTGCCTGAATGGGAAAACCATCTTCAATTTCCCAAGCCTTTCATTCCCTCTGGAGTGAGAGAAGAAAGGCTGTTGAGGCGGGCAGACCTTCTTAACCGAGGCTCCCTGGCCTGGATCAAGAAGTCACCGGGGTGCAGAGCTCCAACCTGCGCCTGTCTGAAGAACCCCGATCCTACCCATCGCCCTCACAATGCAGCTCCCCCGCAGCTTGCCCAGTTCCTGGCAGAAAGCATCCCCTCCGGAAGCTCCCCTGGGCCAGAACACACCCAACTACCCTCCCACACTTGGGAGGAGCCAGAGCATTCAGGAAATGGGTTCCTAGGACAGGGACCTACCACTGTTTCTTATTGTGAGATTTTTCTACATCAACCAAGAGAATACTCATCATCATGAAACACAGAATGAATAATTAAATTACTCACACATGCGTCCTTCTAGTTTTCCTTACCTACTCCAGGGGGCAAAGGCGGTCTGCCACGGGTTTTTATAAATAAAGCTCTGTTGGAACACCACCTTGTACGCTCATTTCCTCATGGTCTAGGGCTGCTCTCTGCTCCACCGTGGCGGGACTGTATTAATTCCCGGGGAGCCAACACCGTCCACAATGCCTACAAACACTCACTATCTGGCCCTTCCCTGGAGAAGTCTGCTGGCCCCTGACCCACTCATCAAACGCTGCCAGGACACAGGGGTCTGAGGAGGAAGCCCCGCTCACCGTGGAAGCCCCGGAAGCTGCCCCGGGTGCTGTAGGTGAAGGTGCGCATGGTGCCGTCCACACTCTCCTTCACCAGCCCCAGCGCCTCCGCCCCCAGCAGCAACCGGACCCTGGAGGCCCCCACGAGGTACAAGTTGTCGCTTCCCAGTGTTTCCTTCTCGTGTTTGTTTAACAGGGGTCTAAACAGCAACTGGGCACCTTCAAAAACAAAAGGTAAGCACAGTCTTAGAAACAAACAGAAATTTCAAAAATGAAAACTTCCTAGTAATATCATGTTTCTAGTTTGGTAAAAGGAAGAAAATGTTAAATAAAAATTAAATCCATCTTCCAAGCAAATAAAAAAATATTTTTTTTCTTAAATATAATTATTTTCCCCAAACATTAAAAAGATGTTATGATCTGATATTATATATACAATTACTACCCACAAGATACTGGAGAAAAATGATTTTTTCCTAATTATTTCCACCTACATCAAACTTTTTAAGGTACGTTTCTTTCTTTTACTTATTTACTTTTGAGATGGGGCCTTGCTATGTTGTCTGGGATGGCCTCAAACCCTCGGCTCAAGAGATCCTCTATCTCAGCCTCCTGAACAGCTAGGACTACAGAGCGAGCTCCGCCATGCCCAGGTGTTTCTTTTCTATTACCCTTGTAGAAATGGCTGACAGAAATTATGAAAATAATCAGGTATTCGCAAAGTTTATGCTTACCAAATGAAGTTTTGTTTTGTTTTGTTGGCAGTACCAGGGATCGAACTCAGGACCTTGAACTTGCCAGGCAGGTGCGGTGCCACTGAGCTACATCCCGGCCCCCAAATGGATTCGTATGTTAAGATTAATGTACAGAGCCCACCAAAAAATGTATACACACTTCAGGAAAAGGAAAACTATGAAGTTTTTTCAGCAGATGGTGTTACCCTCGTGTGAGGGACCCTAGAGGATGCCGTGTATCGCAGGAAACCCACTGCACTGCCGGCCCTTAGGGAAGAAAGTGAAAATGCACGCACACACGGCGATCTCAGTGAGCGAGGTCCCCGAGCGGCAGTTCAGGGCACTGAGCGTCTGGGGGCTCACGGCCCCCTCTGAGCACCTCCTGTCACTGTGGAGGCCAAAGGTGACTTGCACTCATCTCACCATGTCTGAATAAATTTGGCGTTAAAATACTGATCCCGGTGTTTCTTTTCCCGAAGCGTGTATCCGTGTTTTGGCGACTCTATTATGGCTCAGTCGCTTAGGCGATTGCCAGTGCAGGTGTTACAAATCTGAATGAAAGGTGCATTTGGGGTACAGAAAGACACCCTCCCCGTCCCCAGTGTCCCTGAATGCACAGCCGCACGGAGGCGCCAGAGTTATTCGCGACAAGACACAGCAAATGTTCTTGAAGAAAGGATTCCTCAGATTCCAGCAGCAAATACTTGTGCTTTTCTTCCCTCTTGGTGCAATTATTGAGAAAAAATGTAATCGACTTTGATTCAAAATTCCACTTTATAGGCATTTTTCTATAAACAGTCCTAGCCCAGCGCTCGGGCAGCAGAAGGCGTGGGCTTGACCCCACCTCTCGCCAGCCCAGCCCTGCCGAGCTCCCAGACAGGGCCAAGCGGGGGCCCTGGGTCACCCCGACTCTGCAGCGCTGCCACCCCACCCTGTGCTCCTGCACAGGCTCGCAGCACAGGGTTTGGTACAGGGCGCAGGCGCTGCCTTGGGACCACTCCCGGCTGGCTCTGTTTGCTGCTCTAGGTCTCCTCCCCTGACAGCACCTTCTCGCACGCAGGTGCTGTGCTAACCGGCCCTGGGCAGCGCAGGTGACACTCAGGAGCCCCGCAGAGCAGCGCCCTGCGCCCACTCATAGAAAGCTCCGACAAGCGGGCGCAAAGCGTGGGAGCTGAGCCCTCACCGCTGGCAGTTGGATGTTCTGCGGTGAGTGACGGAGGCCGCCCAAGTCCAGAGGGAGGGAAGAGCAATGGCTATGACACAGGAAGGAAGGCCTCGGGAGAGCCACAGGCAGCCTCAGGCTGCGGTCTGGGCGGCACCTACTTTACTCACCTCCGTCTTTCTTTTTGGCAATAATTCTGTTTTTCAGCCATTCTTTGGTTTCTTCTTTGACATCCTGAGCAAGTTCTATGACCACCAAAGGCGTGAAGGAAGTCTCGTAAGTATCCAAAGCTGATAAGGTCACTTTCATCTTTGACGATTTACTGAAAATTAAAATGAAAGGCAAAATGGGTTATTCTCGCAAAGAAACACACTACAAACTGACTGCATTTTCTCTTAATTACACCTAATCCTGGCTTCCAAGATACAGGCAAATTTCTCACAATCCGACAGGGTGTACGTGAGGCTGGATCACAGAGTCACAGCACACATGTGAGCCAGGCTAGGAGAGAAGCCAATCCTAGTTCAGAATACAGAGGGGAGACTCGGGGAGAGGAGCTAAAGGGGGCTCCCATGCAGAGGAGTCAGGAAGTGTGATCCCGGAGCGGGATTAGAGGAATGCATAGGAGTTCGCCAGAGAGCCAGCAGAGGACACGCTACGCAGAAAGGTCGGCTTCTCTACTGAACAGTGACAAAAGGGGCCAGCCGGCTCTGAGAAATACAAGTGGCTGGGTGTGGCTGTCAGGGACTGAGTGGCCCTACTGCTCGGGGCTTCTGGCAAGGGCGGCACATCATGGAGGAAGCTGACAGAGCCACAGCTACTCACCCCAAGGAGCCCAGAAGCAAAGAGAAGGCAGGAGGGTGCTGGGATCCCACGGGCCCCAAGAGCGCACCCCGGCGACCTCAGGGCCTCCCACTTCCCTCCCTTCTCCTGACCGTTCCTCCACCTCCTGGGACCCTCTGGGAACACACTCGTGGGAAACATACCATGCTCTCTGTGGAATGGCCCATGTTTGCTGTTAAAAGTATCAATGACTCTTTCAGGAGCTCAGAAAATGAAACTCCTTGACCTACAGGATGCTTCACTACCTTGGTCCTCTCCCTACCTCTGAAAACACCTTCCCTTCTTCTGTCTTCCAACAAAGTGTGTCTGCCTGCAAAGGGTCCGAGCCACGATCTCTAGACCGCTGCCTTCATTCTAAGGCAATCTCTCCTCCGTTACAGCTTGTATCAAATGTCGCCCACAGCCTCACACACTCACAGGTGGGGCTTGAGGGAGGTGATGGGATTGTGGGGCTGTGATGCTCACCAGCAGATTGGTGCACTGATGGTTTATGGCTAAATCTGACCTTGGAAGGAGAAGGTCACTGGCATCGTGGCCTGACAGGGTCTATTCCAACCCCTCCCTTGATCTCTCTGCTTCCAACTGCCATGCCATAAGCTGCTTCTCCTCCGCCATGCTGCCCTGCCTTGGAGCCTTGGACTATGATTGAAACCTCTACAAACTGTGAGCCAAAATAAACCTTTCCTTCTTATAGTTGTATTGGGTATTGTGTCTTAGCAACAATAAAGTAAGTAAGACAGATTTTGGTGCCAGAGAGGTGAGGTCACTGCTGTGATATGACCTGATCATGTGGTTCAGAAGCCTTTGGAACTGGCTTGCAAGAGGAGTTTGGTTAGGTTTGCAGACACAGGCTGGAGAGGCAGCCCTAAAAACTGAGCTTGATGGGAGACTCTGGTCAGAGCTCAGAAGACCAAAATATTGACAGTAATGCAACTAGAAAAGACCAGACTCAAGAGGCTTCATTCAAGAACACGGAATCCATTGGTAGTTGGACTCCAGATCATGTGTATTATCCTTTGGTAGAAAACTTATCTACATTTTGCTCATGTCCTGAGAACTTGCAGGAGACTGGGATGAAGGGTGGCAGACTAACTAATCTGGTGGAGGAAAGTTCAAGGAAGCTAAACATCCAGATCCAGGCTGTGGCTTGGATGCTGCTGGAAGCTTGCAGCCAGCTGTACACCGAGGATCAAGAGCAATCAGCCCAGCAGAATGATTTTTAAAGTTTTGAGTTTGGCCAGAAAGGAAGTTTCATTAAACTTGGGGTCTGCAAAGATGGAGCAGAGGAGAGCTTGGTTGCTGAAAAGAGTAGCATTAAAAAGAAGCCAAGTATTTTGAAACAGGACAGCAGAAAAATGGCTTACAGGCATGTGAGGAAGCATTAAGGCTTAGCCCTTCAAGGGCTCAAAATTTCAAAAATGAAAGACTTTGCTTTGAGCAGAGACCAGGGCATTCTGTTGGAGAAGGGCTGCCTAGGGGATTGATTCCCTGAGATTCAGTTTATCATGCTCAGCCAGCCAGGCACTCAGATGCCTCTGCAGCCAGGAGCAAGATGGAAAAGGGCCTGGCTTCTGCTCCAGCTGGTGGCACCATCACCCAGATGGTGCTGGGTTTTGGGCATGCAGAATGTAAGAGTTGTGAGGTCAATAAGGCCTATGAGGCTAGGCAGTGTGCCTGAGAGAGCAATCCATAAAGATGCAAGGATGAAGTCAAAAGTACGATAGACTCCATAATGCTGGAAAAGCCAAGAATGTAGAACTTCTGAGGAAAGCTGCAAGGAGTGAGCAAAGCCAGCCCAAGAGAAAGGCCATGAGGGCTACAAACACCAGCAATGCAACAGAGGTGGAGTTACCCAAGCGGTTTGGAGCTCACATTTCATCACAATTTCCCCAGGAAGCTAGACATGGAACTAAAGGATTTAGTGTTTGCCCTGATGGGTTTTGGTTTTGCTTTGGTCCCATCCGTCTGTATCCCTCTTTTCCTCCCTTCTGCAATGGGAATGTTTCCACTGTGCCACTGTAAGTCAGCAGGGTTTAACTTTTTCTTCCTTTGTACACAGGCTCACAGCTAAGAGTTTACCTTAGAACTCATAGGCGATTTTGGACTTGGACTTTTTGGCAATGTCAAAATTGTGAGGACTTTGGCAACTCTTAGAGATGGACTAAATGCATTTTGTATAAAGAGATCCACAGGAGCCTTTTTGGAGCTGGGGGCAGAATGCTATGGTTTACATCTAGATGCCCCCCAAAGCATCATCACTCATAGGTGGGGCTTCTGGGAGGTGACTGGGTCATAGGGACATGATACTCAGTGGATTAGTCCACTGATGGATTTATAGCTAAATGTGATGTTGGGAGGTGGAGTCTGGTTGGAGGAGGTGGTCACTGGGGGCATGGCCTGGGCGGGTTATCTCCCTCCTCCTCCCTTGATCCCTCTCTGCTTCCCACCATAGGCCATAAGCTGTTTCTCCTCTGTGATGCCCCTCTGCCATGCTACCATGCCTTGGACCCAGAGGACTATGGACTGAACCCTCCACACTGAGCTGAAATAAACCTCTCCTCCTTATAGCTGTTGGTGTTGTGTTTCAGTGACAAGAAAGTAATTAAGACTACCTCTAAAACTGCTTTTTCTTAACTTCAGACTCTAACCTCTGCACTGATGTCTGTACCATATCTTAATCGTATCCTCTAAGGTGCACTCCATCAGAAGCTTCCACCACTGTTTGACACTATCTCACCAAAACTTATCAACACATCCCAAACTAAACATATATACTTCTCCCCAGTATCGGCTTTTTCTCCAGCTTCCCTACCTTTCTCAAAGGCACCATCTTTTTAGTTCTGTTACCAAGCTTGAAAAATAATGGAAACCCATACATGGGGCGAGGCACTAAGGCCTAAACCCTTCCTTCTAAAATGTTTTACATGTGAATCTCTCAACCCTGGAAAACTTCCAGACCTTACATTCACTTATTCTAATTGCACTTCATGTCAGTTTTAATAATGGCAATATACACATGCAAATCAATTCATAAGAACAATCACAAAGGGAGTGACAACACTATATAAATGTACACCATCTTTCTTTTCTTTGGTGGAAACTGTAATTTTGCAGCAATCCAATCAAACAGATCCAGGTTGTCTGGCTGGACTGATCATCAGTTTTTGCCCTAACAGAGCACACATTTTGTTCAGAGAAACATAGGTCTTATAAAGCAATGCTGGATTCACACTGTACTCTGAACGCACCAGGAGTGCTATTTAAAGATACCTGCTGTACCACTCAGTGCATACTAGAAGAACATTTAATGCAAGATATACATAGTAAGAATTTACAAGATTGGTTTACAGTGGCCGCCCACAGTCGGGTGTGGAAGAGAACAAAAGGGCTGCCTGCGTGCTGGAGATCTGAAGGATCCAGGCGGAGGCCTGGAGCTCACTGTAGTGTTCTGTTCAAGTATCAAGAGGCCAAAGGGTCTGCGCCAGGAAGAAGCCAGGAGACCCATCTTTTTTTTTTTTCACAATACACAGTTTTCTTGCAGCTTTCATTCAAGATATTTTTATATCATTTATGACACAGGAAACCCCTAATGTCTTCCTATCGAGCTCCAAAAATAAGAAACCTAACAGGTCGCTGCTCATACTCTCCACTGCCCCAGGTATTCTATAAACAGGCCCTTGAATTCAGGTCCAAGGCGAAGAGGAAGAGCGGAGCTCCTGGGAGGAAACAGAGGCGCCTTCCTGCTTGTTTCCCTTTATTCCATGCGGGCTGCAAGCCCATTGGCTGTTGTCAGTCACACCCAGGCTGGGTCTTCCCTCCGCAGTAAATCCCCTCGGCCTCACCCAGAACTGTGCCGATCCGATTTAGCTGGGCATTTGTTACTCGAGGTGACTCAGTTAACTATCACACCTGCCAAGTCCATTAACCAACATGTGAGGTCCTAGAAGTAATCAGATCAGGACAAGACACAGTGCTCACCTCCATACTAATACTGTAATGTGGTGGGAACAGTTCATGCACAAAAGCTTTGGAAAAGCAAAGGGGGAAGCATGTTCTACATGGGGAATGATGTGTATCAATGAAGGAAGAACAAGGCAGCATGTGAAAAAAACAATAAGAAGACTGAGCTAACAGAGCAGAGGCATAGGGTTCTGCTTTATAAGCTGTTGCCACGTAAGAATGACAAATGCTATCATCACATCTGAGTCAATGGCCAGTAAGGAGTCCCCACAGGTTCTGGGACAGACGAGTGTATGTCAGAGTGGCATGGATTTCAACAGATAAACCTACAGGGTGACAGCACAGGTGCTCTTTAAGGTAGTCTTTTAACTATCTGGCACAAATGAACTTTTCCATAATAAGAAAATTACACCTACCAGCATATCTAGTATCAATCTACCAGGTGACTGCAGAGGCTTAGCTTCATCACCTTCAAAGTGGAATAATAAGCACAATAAACATTTATCATGTGCTTACTAT